GGACGGATCCTGGGCTCAGAACCCCATCAGCTGCTGGCACTGCAGCACGTCGGGGACCAACCCGAAGATGCGCGACTGCCTGAGCAGCTGCCCCAAAACCCTCTACAATGACACCAAAGCCCAGAAACCCCAGAAACCCCAGAAACCCAAACGCAAACCGGAGACAGCCCTCAAAACCCAGCCTGACAAACGCCCCTGCCTTGCTACGTCCCTGCTAATCGCCCCTCCCATGCCGGCTGTCGATGACGATGCCCGCCGGGCAGAGAACTATCAGCAGCTGGCAGCAACAATCAAGGAGCGGGGCCTCTTCACCAGCAAGGCCTTGCCGGGGGACTTTCTCTTCTTCCTGCCCGACTTTAAGGAGGGGGACAACGGATTCCAGCTCGTCGAACCAAGCCTTGAGAAGAGGCAATTCCCCAAAGCCGTGATCCTGGGGTGCGCAACAACAACCAATGGGCTCGGGATCCTGAGGTGTCCCTCCTGCTCGGGCGCCACCTGCATTCATGTCTGCGTGCTGCAACAGCTCGTGGACGTGAAAGGGCTCACAGCCCCCGTCAGCGAGAGGGAACTGCCGCCCGAGGCAAAATCGGAAAAGGGAAAAGCCAAGAAACAGCAGCAGTCCGAGCCGGAAGGGAAGCAAGATAAGGCAAAGCCGCTGTCCGAATTGGGTTTCAAGGCAGCTGGTGATTACTGGGCGGTCCAGCTGAAAGGGGAGAAGAAGTGGGTCCTGTGTGGGAAGAAAGCGGACGATACCTGGGCCTGTCAGCTGTGCAGAGGGGCGGAGAAGTGCCGTCACATCTGCAAGGCCGCCAAGCTCACCTACACGCCTCCGGTCGTCACGAAGAGGTGAGCCTTTAAGTTGCCTTCCTCATTCATCATAGAAGAAGTGCTCAATGATGACTTCGCGATTGGGCATGTGCATCAGATGGTACGTCAGGCGCTCAAGGTAAGCGTTCATTCTGGCTTTCCAGATGGCCTGGTCCCTGAACCAAGCTCCCTGAACCAAGCTTGCTGTACTTGAAGCAGCTTGGGTGCTCTTAGAGGATGAGAAGCTTTAAAATAATGAGCAAAGAGAATTCAGTTGCTGGTATTTCGATCCACCGCTGTCTGGGTTGAATCTGAGCTGCACCGGCGGACAGTTGCTGGCATCCTGGAAGAGCTCCATGAGCTTCTTTGACTCGCAGAGTGTTGATCCTCGTCGCATTCCAAGTGCACGGTATGCGTGAAAACCCACAAAGATGTCTGG